CAGCACCATTTAATAGGCATTCTGAAAATTTTCCTTTTATTCTGAAATAATCCTAGTTGCAAAATAGTAGAGAGTTATGGTAGACTTTCACGTGGATTATCCTAATGTCAAGATCGTATATCACGGGCTGGGGTTGTGGCTTAAGCGGTAGCGCGCTCGCCTGGCATGTGTGCGGCCCGGGTTCGATCCTCAGCACCACATACAAACAAAGATGTTGTGTCCGCCAAATACTAAAAAATAAATATTAAAATTCTCTCTCTCTACCTCTCTCTCACTCTCTCTTTAAAAAACAAAAAAGATCGTATATCACCATAGTCCAATGACATGAAAAGGATTGAGGTTAATACGATTCACCAATCTACAGATCTTAATGAAACTGATATGAAGCCAGGCACGGTGGCTCATGCCTGTAATCCCAGTGGCTCTGGAGGTTGAGGCAGGAGGATTGCAGATTCAAAGCCAACCTCAGCAAAAGTGAGGAGCTAAACAACTCAGTGAGACCCTGTCTCTAAATAAAATACAAAATAGGACTGGGGATGTGACTTAGTGATTGAGTGCCCCTGAGTTCAATCCCTGGTACTCAGAAATAAAAATTAAAAAATAAAACTGCCATGGACCTGCTCACATAATTTTCTCTGGTTAAGATTCTAAGGAAAGGGTTCTTCATTATGTCCGTATCTCTTCAGTTTCTTTCAGGTGGGGACAGTTCCCCAGTCTTTCATAAACTTGGCACTTTTGAAATATATTGGTCAATTATTTTGTGAGTGTTCTCAATTTGTGTTTTGTTGATTTGTTTTTGGTGTGTATGTGTGTGTGTGTGTGTGTGTGTGATTAGTCTGAGATTATGATTTTGGCAGGAATACCCCAGAAGGGACATTGTGTTCTCAGAGTGTAGCACTAGCAGGCACGCAGTGTTTATATGTCTCCTTAACAGTGTTATTTGGTTACGGTGGACTCTGCCAGGTCTCTCCATTTTAAGCTGTTATTCTTTCTCCTTGTAATTAATAAATACATTGTGAGGAAATATGTTGAAACTTATGCAAATATTCTGTTTGTTATCATACTGTGGCTCATTCATTATCTGTTGATGGTTCTCTGTTGTTGGGATAATGATGGTTTTCTATCTCCGTCCCTTCTTCTACATTAACTGATAGGAATTCTAATGTAAGGAAGAGCTGTCCCTTCTTCCCCACTTATTTATTTAGTTGGTTATTTATTTACATCAGTATGGACTCACGGACATCTATTTTAATCTGTGGGTTATAATCCATTGCTCTCATTATTTATTTTGTTGCTCAGATTATCCCAGGTTTGACCATGGGAGCTCCTTCAGGTTCCTGTGGGCTTCCATATGCCCTTTATTTTTTGGGGGACCAGGGATTGAACTCAGGGGCTTAACCATTGAGCTAATCCCCAGCCCTTTTTACGTTTTATTTTGAGACAGGGTCTCACTAAATTGCTGAGGCTGGTTTTGAACTTGTGATTGTCCTGCTTCAGCCTCTCGAGCTGCTGGGATTACAGGTGTGCACCACTGTACTGGGCCAACAATCCCCGCCCCGCCCCCCAGGTACAATCTTAGTTTCTGGAACCATAAGATGTACCAGACTCCTTTTGTGTTTTCCCTGACTCGGCCCAGTGGCCAGCTATATCTCCAAGAGCTCTGGTTCTTGGAGATAGATTGGAGCACAGAACTTAGAAACCAAGACCTGGGTGCTGGCTATATTCATTGTTACTGGAGCAACATTGCTTCAAGGCCCTCTCAGTGGGCAGAGCTTGGAAACACATGTACCTATAGATACGACCATACACATCTAAGTGTATTGCTCCACATCCCTCCCTCTCTCTATCTACAGTAAAAATCACGAATTTTTACTATTATCTCTGATTGCAGTTCATTACCACAGGGTTTAACCTCCCCCCCCCCCTTTTTTTTTATCTGTAACTCCTTTTATTCAATAGTGAGAAACTGGTTTTCATTACCCATAATGTCTACTTATTTATTTGCTCAATCCCAGAATTCACATTATCTTAATTTCTCAGGGATGCCCCCCAAAATCATCACAAACTGGGTGGCTTAAGACAACATTTTGGCCAGGCACAGTGGCACACACCTGTAATCCCAGCAACTTGGGAGGCTGAGGCAGGAGGATTGCAATTTTGTTTGAGGCCAGCTTGGACAGTTTAGTGAGCCTTTGTCTGAAAAGAAAAATAATAGTAAAAAAGATGGGGGATGTAGCTCAGTGGTAGAGCGCCCCTAGGTTCCCTAAAAAAGAAAAAGAAAAAGCCCTTTGGCAGGGGGGTGAGGAGGGTAACACAACATTTTCTTTTCTTGGTACCGGGGATTGAACTCAGTGGCACTCAACCACTGAGCCACATCCCCAGCCCAATGTTGTATATTATTTAGAGACAGGGTCTCACTGAGTTGCTTAGTGCTTTGCCTTTGTTGAGGTTGGCTTTGAACTTATGATCCTCCTGCCTCAGCCTCCCAAGCCGCTGGGATTACAGGCATGCGCCACCACGCCCGGCTATATTTTATTTTCTCATAATTCTGAAGGTTGGTTCCAAAATCAAGGCATCCAAAAGACACAATAGGTTCCTTCTACAGGCTCTGAGAGAATTGTTCCTTGCAACTCCTGGTGGCTGCCAGCCAGCCTAAGTCCTTGGCTGGTGTCCATCTGGCTCCAGTCTCTCTCTCCCTCGCCACATGGCCTTCTCCCTGTGTGTGACCTCTCTCTCTTCTCTTATAAAAACAGCAACTATTGGCTTCAGGGCCCACCTTCATCTCAAGAACCTTAATTTAACCATATCTGCAAAGACCCTATTTCCAAATAAAGCATCATTCGCTGTATGGAGAGTAGGACATGGACATAATTTCAGAGGGACACAATTCAGACTACTATACATAAAATAGTTTTGAATTGCTGACCTGTACTCCCCTGGAATACATATTTACTAATACATACGTGTGGAGATCTTTTTATCTTTAGTCTTATAATACATAGTCAAAATGTTTTTCAGCCAGGTGCGGTGGCATATACCTGTAACTCCAGCAGGGAATCGCAAATTCCAAGTCAACCTCAGCAATTTAGCAAAGCCCTATGAGCAACTCCATGAGACTGTCTCTAAATAAAATATAAATATATTTAAATTTCCTTCTTGCTCTGCCTTTAAGGACAGACTCCTGTGCCTCACAACGATGTTTTGGTCAAGAACGGGCCACACATGATGGTGGTCACATAGGTGATAATGGAGCTGAAAAATTCCTGCTGTTTAGCTGCTATAATGTCACATTGCAACAAATGTCTAGTGTCTGTGGAGATGCTGGTGTAAACAAACCTGATGCATTGCCAATTGCATGGAGATAGCTCATACAATTATGTGCAGTCTCTAATAATCGATAATATAACAAGTTACTATGTTTCTGGTTTATGTATTTACCATACTATCTTTTTATCATTCTTTTTTTTTTTTTTTGGTACTGGGGATTGAACTCAGAGGTACTTTACCACAGAGCCACATCCCCAGCACCCTCCCATTTTTTTAAAGCTTTTTTCTTAAATTGTAGATGGACACAATATCTTTTTTTTTCAATTTTTAATATTTATTTTTCAGTTTTTGGTGGACACAACATCTTTGTTTGTATGTGGTGCTGAGGATCGAACCCGGGCCGCACGCATGCCAGGCGAGCACGCTACCACTTGAGCCACATCCCCAGCCCATATCTTTGTATTATTTATCTATTTTTTTATGTGGTGCTGAGGATCAAACCCAGTGCCTCGTGCATTCAAGGCAAGTGCTCAACCACTGAGCTACAACCCCAGCCCCCTAGTGCTTTTTATTTTTAAGTTTGAATCAGGGTTTCACTAAATTGCTTAGGGCCTTATTGAGTTGCAGAGTCTGCTCTCAAACTTGAGATCTTCCTGCCTCTGATTTCCAAGTTGCTGGGATTACAGGTGTGTGCCACCACACCTGGCTTTTTATCATTTTCAAAGTGTACTCCTACTTACAAAAAAGAAGTTTACTGTAAAACACTGTCCCAGATTACATTGGTAACAGTTTTATAATCTCAAAAAAAAAAAAAAAAATCTGGCTGGGCGCAGCTCAGGAGGCTGAGGCAGGAGGATCACAAGTTCAAAGCCAGCCTCAGTAAATAAGCAAGACCCTAAGCAACTTAGCAAGATGCTGTCTCAAAATAAGAAAATATAGGGGCTGGGACTGTGGCTCAGCAGTAGAATGCTCGTCAGCATCACATAAAAATAAATAAACAAAATAAAGGTATTGTGTCCAACTACTTCTAAAAAATAAATTTAAAAAATTTTAAAAATGTTTAAAAAGGCTGGAAGTGTGGCTCAGTGGTTAAGTACACTGGGTTCAATGCCTCTTACCAAATTAAATTAAATTAAAATTTCAATAGTATCTTAACTGCATCAAGGCACCAAATCAAGTGGTAGACCCAGAGCATCTTGGTTTGTATAAGTGCATTTTGATGTTCACACAACTACAAAGTCACCTAAAGACACATTTTCATAATGTGTTCCCATTGTTAAATGACATGACTATATTTGTGATTGCATTTAGGGTCCACCTAGATAATCCCAGTCTCAAAATCCTTAACTTAGTAGCATCAGCAGAGTTACACTCACAGATTGCAGGTATTAGGATCTGGGAATCTTTGGGAGGCCTTATCAGTCTGCCACAGATAGTACATGATTTTCAGAATGGAGTGAATTTAATTCCTGTAGGTTTACTTCAAGTCTTCCTAAGAATAAAAAGCAGGCATAATATCAGGGCACCTTCAAGGCTCTCCAGGTCTAAAATTCTTTGCCTGGCTTTAGTCAGCTGGAATGATCTGGAAATGGCTACTTCTAAGGCTGACATGATCAGCATACCAGGTGATCATCCAAGACTCCTTTGAGGCCAAAGTGCAAGGTCCTTATAGTCTGTTTCATGAGTGACAGATAATGGGAAGAAAGTGTGGCTGGGAAATTATTCCTCCTGGGTCGTTGGGATTCCCAGGGAAAGGGCCTTATTCCAGAAAATCTGGGTATAATTCACAAATCATGCCCAAGTAGAAAACGGGGGTGGGGGGGGAGGAAATTTTCTATCCTGAAAGAAAAGCCTGCTGGTTGGAACTTTCTTACTATTAGAGGTGTCAACCAACTTGTGAGAAGGTGAGCTCCCTGTAACCACTGGTTCAGAAAGATCAGGATGAAGAGGACCTGTGTGCTTAGGACCTCTCTGTCTAACACGGTAGGCACTAGTTACACGTGCTATTTAATGCTTTGTGTTCATTTCACATTTTTTCCTAACTTTCTATTTTCAAATTATAGATTTCCAGGAAGTTGCATAAATAGTATAGACAGGTCTCATGTACCCTTCATCCAGTTTCCTCTGATGGTTACATTTTATATTATTCTACTATAACATCAAAGTCAGGAAGTGATGCTGCTACAGTGTGTGTGTACAGTTCAATGCCATTTTCCTCACATATGTATATTTATGTTAACTACCACCTGATTATGATGCAGAGCTACCCCATCACCACAAAGATCTCCTATGTGCTACACTGTTGAAGTATCTTAATTGCATTAATGATTACCCACCATCCCTAACCCCTGTAATCATTAATCTGTTTTCCATCTCCATAATATTGTTGTTTGGAAAATGTTATATAAATGAAAATGTACACACATGCTATTTAAATTTTAAGTTTAATCCATTAAGATTTAATTAAAAATTCAGTTCCTCATCATATCAGCTGCATTTCTGATGCTGAACAGCCACCTATGTCTAGCGACTATTATATCAGACAACATAGATCTGTGATTGCTCCACCATTACAGAAAATTCTATTGGAAGGTGAGGCTTTGGGACTGAGACCTGATCTGTGGTTCACAGATGCTGATTTCATGGACCACGTTACCCCAAAGTATGACATAATATAGATTCCTGTGTTTATTATTTATGCATAATAAATCACCCCAAAATGTAGTGGTTTCAAACAACCAACTTTTACAATCTCACATGCTTTCTGTAAGTCGGGAGCTGACTGAAGTGCAGTCATGCTGTTCCTCAGGTGGCAGTCATCAGGAAGGTTGGTTGGGCCTGGAGGCAGCTCCCTCACATGCCTGCCAAGCTGGTGCTGGCTGTTAGGATAGTCACCCATCTCTGCTTTCCATGACTTAGAGATGCCATGGGACATGGGACTGTTCTAGACAACATGGAATGTCTGATCACTATTGGCAGAGGGCCCAGTTTCTCCCAACACAGGCCTTTTCTGGGCTGCTTGAGTGTCCTTACAACATGGCTGCTGGCTTCTCCCAGGGTGAGTGATCCAGGAGAGTGCAAGATTCCAATATCTTTTCTGGCCCACCTTAGAAGTCACTTTGTATTACTTTTGTTACTTTTTTCCTCCCATTGGAAGCAATGGTCCTCTGATCCACATCCAAGGAGAAAGGAATTAGGATCCCCCTTTCAAAAGGAGGATTGATGAGGAATTTTGAAACATCTCTTTTAAACTCTCCTCACTGGTCCATACCTGAGATTCTGAATGGGCAAATGGGGCAGGGTCCCAGAATCCATGCTTGATCAAAGTTCACTGATGAGGTGGCCCAACCTCAGGGTCCCTTCCCATTGTGAGGTGGCAGTCATTCCACCTCCATCAGGAGGCCTTCAGGTCAAATAAATAAACATTGAGTACTATTGATTAACACCAAATTCCATAGCAACATTGGAGAAAAAACTTGATTTAAGATACATACATATAGGATGGTTAAAATGCTTACAGAAATATGTGGACTGGGTCTAAAAATGAATTAATTATGCAAAAGAATATAATTACTGTTATAGTTGGTGGGGAGAAAAGACTGAGTTATTTAAAGAAATGCATTTAGTGTTATATTACCCTTGTTATATTTCTTTTTTTTTCTTTTTCTTTTTCTTTTTTTTTTTAGAGAGAGTGAGGAGAGAGAGAGAGAGAGAGAGAGAGAATTTTAATATTTATTTTTTAGTTTTTTGCAAACACAACATTTGTTTGTATGTGGTGCTGAGGATCGAACCCGGGCCGCACACATGCCAGGCGAGCACGCTATGCTTGAGCCACATCCCCAGCCCCACCCTTGTTATATTTCAAGAGGCCATTCTATTTTCAGACTTTAGCTCAATTGTCAACTTTTTAGAGGCCTTTCCCACTGCCTTCCCCCCACTTCCTCAGCACTGGGATTGAGCCCAGGGCCTCAGGCATGCTAGGCAAGAACTCTACCACTGAGCTACACCTCCAGTCCCCCACCATTGTTGTTAAAGTTGGTTCCCTCTGTATCATTCTTAGTCTCTTTTTTGTCCCCACATTGCACTTGTCACATTTGCAAATGCGTAATGCATTTCCCTGAAGTCTGAGCTCTGGAAAGGAAGGCAGGGACTATCACCTTTGTCCCTGGGGGTCTCTTCAGGGTCCAGCACAGGGCCTTGTATATGCTGCTCAGAAGCGTCATCAGAAACAGGAATGAGTTGAGTCTGAGGGAAATGTGGGAAATGATGAAGGTGAAGGAGACAATGGAAGTCCCTCTCCTGTCTCTTCGTGGCCATTGACTCTTGAGAATGTGATTAGATCAGTGTTTCTCAATCTCATTACTATTGTTCTTTTGGGCTAGACATTTCTTTGTTGTTGGGAACTGTCCTGGGGAGAATATTTAGCAGCATCCCTGGCCACCAACCAACAGATGCCAGTAGCACCACCCACTACTCACAACTGGTGACAATCAAAAATATCTACTGATATTGCCAAATGCCTCCAGAGGTCAAAGATTGAGATGCATTAGGAACCGGGTCAGATCTTAACTTTTTGCACGAAGATGCACTTAGGTGTAGAAGTATTTCCTCACCATTCTTGGTTTCCTCAGCAGTAAGAGAGACTGACACCACAATTTATTTTTCAGAGGCTTTGCAGGTTTTGGAGTGACAGACTTGGAGAGTGCTGCCACCTGTTTGTAAGTGTGTGGGAATGCACCCTTGGGCGAACCTCTCAGGGCCTCAGTGAAACAACTTGCCTGGAGAGGTAGCAAGCAGATGTGTTGGCTGGTAAGGCCCTGCCACCAAGAGTGGGCCAGGGAAGCCCCAAATAAGGACAGCCAGGGTGTTCAGCAGCCAGGAGAGTTAACGGGAATGGGACTTTTCCTATTATTTTGGTCAAATATTTGGCAATGTTAAGAAATAAAATAAAATCAGCCTGGCTTGCTGGCACGCGCCTGTATTCCCAGTGACTCAGGAGGATCACAAGTTCAAAACCAGCCTCAGCAATTCAGTGAGGCTCTAAGCAACTTAGTGAGAACCTGTGTCAAAATAAAAACTAAAAAAGCGCTGCAGATTGGCTCAATAGCTTAAGTGCCCTGGATTTAATCCCTGGTATAAACCCCCGCCCCCCAACCAACCAACCAACCACCAACAAAACTCAGAAAAACTAGGCCTTTATTTCCTTCTCCTTTTTTTTTCTGCAGACACTATGATCCCTTTTCCTTAGAATTCCTCTGATTTAGGTCTTATCTGTACACATTTTAATCAGAGCAGGAACCCTGATGGTTGGCAATATGGCTGGTTTCTGGCTTGTCAATAACTCTCCTTGGCCAGGCTGGTGGTAATTTCAGGCTGGTGGAAAAGGTAGGAGGTTGACACCACCAGTGACCACACCCAAACTCACCAGCCTTCTCTAAACCCACATGTCCTCTGGTGCTTCCAGCTCAGTTTGCCTGCACCAGCCCTGGAGTTCCACAGCTAGAAACATCACCTCTATTTCTGAGTCCCACTAATTTTGTTTCCTAAATTAGTTCTATTTCTCCTCACTTCATTGCTATTCTCACTTTAGATTGAGCCACCTGTATCCCAATCCACCTGCAATGGCTCAACTGGGTCATTCTTCTGTCCTCTATGTTGTTGGCTGGAGTCATGCACATGGCTGATTCAGTTAGGAGCTTGGCCAGGGTTGGACTCTTCTAGATGGCCTCATTTACAAGTCTGGTAGCTCAGATGGTGAGGGTGCTGGAGCAGCAGCTGGGCTTTTCTCTATAGCAGGGACTTGTCATGTGAGGGCCTCAGGGTTACAAGAGCATCCAGGCCCACAACTGGCACAATGTCCCTTTCTGATGTTCCCTGGTTACACACCTATAATCTCTGCCACTCAGGAGGCTAAGGGAGGTGGACTATAAGTTCAAAGTCAGCCTCAGCAACTTAGAAAGACCTTGTCTCATAACAAAAAGGAAAAATATCTGGGGATGTAGTTCAGTGGTAGAGTGCCCCTGGGTTCAATCCCCAGTACCAAAATAAGTAAGTAAGTAAGTAAATAAATAAATAAATAAAATAAAGCTTAACTAGCTAATGATGTAAGTTATCCATTTATAAGAAAGATAAGAACATTCCAGAAACAAAAATGCACGTTTTAACTCCACTTAGCAGAAGTGCCTGGTACAACTGATGACAACCTTAGGAAAAATGTTTTTAAAATACACAAGCTTATAAACAAGGTTCCTGTTATTAAATGTGGGTTTGTTGCAAATGTTTATTTTGCAACAAATTACACTAGCAATTTCTCTAATTATAATTCAAGTGTAATTTAGTTAATGTAAATTGCTACACTTCTATAACAAAGAGATGAAGATACAGCTAGCACAACAGACCATAGCCCATTTACTGTGAGAGGTCTGGGGAAGGGGACTACATCATTTTATATATTCAAAGAGAAAAAAACCCCAATAGCCCCCCAGTTGTCCTGAGTGATTCTGTCAAAAGCCAGGTTATATTACACTCCCGCCATCCCCTCTTGCTTGGCCTTCATGTGAAGCATGACACAGCTCTTAGCCTGATTACAGTGTACAAAGCAAGGACGATGAAGACACCTTGCTCATCCTCATTGGCATCCAGGCTCCACTGGAGAGCACTGAAAACCTTGAGGAAGGACTCTTGTGGGAATTCCTGAGTCACTGCCAGGCATGGTGACACATGCCTATAATCCCAGAGACTCAGGAGGCTGAGGCAGGAGGATTGCAGGTTCAAAGTCAGCCTCAGCAATTTAGCAAGACTCTGTCTCAAAATGAAAACTAAAAATGGGCTGGGGATGTGAATAATCAAGCTTAGACTGAATATGCTGGGGATTGAACCCAGGGCCTCACACATGCCAGGCAAGCGCTCTACCACTGAGGCACATCCTTGGCCCCTAAATGAATGAATATTCTCAAGAGCTTTCCTTTCATAGCACTTATCAGAGTCCATAATTGCACATTTATTTGTATGGCAATTTGAGCAAAGTCTATCTTCTCCCTTGACTCTAAGCTCCACAAGGGAAGGAACAGTGTCTGTTCCTACCCAGTCTATCCCCAGTTCTTGGTACACTGTGTGGGACATAGTGACCTTCGAGGAATACTGGCTGAATGAGTGAATTCTGAGTCAGAGGAACAGGAAGGAAGCCAAGATGTGAAGCATCATGGTAGATGCGTCTCTCTTCACAGCACACAGATGCTGGGTCTTGAAGAAGATGTATTGCTATAGTTTGTGTAAGATATGGAAAAACGACAAACTCCAAAGTAGTGTGGCCTGGGAAGAGGGAGTGAGGAAGAAGGCAACACATGATAACATTGATCCTTTCCCAGTGACAGGACAATCCATGGAAAGGAAGCAAACATCATCCAGAGACAAAATATTCCCTGGGAAAGAGATACCCATCAAGACTAAAATGGCAAGCTGGGGATGTGGCTCAAGCGATAGAGCGCTCGCCTGGCATGCGTGCGGCCTGGGTTGGATCCTCAGCACCACATAAAAACCAAGATGTTGGGTCCACCGAAAACTAAAAAATAAATATTAAAATTCTCTCTCTCTCTCTCTCTCTAAAAAAAAAAAAAAAGAGGAAGCCAAAGCATTGATTCTTCCCCAAATAAGTTCTTTTCCCAGTGACAGTACAATGGGACCCTGAAGAGAAAGAGATTAGCACTGAATGCTGACCCCAGACCCTCCATTCTTCCAAAAAACATTGCCCAGTGAAAACAAATTTCAAATTTCACAACCCGTTTCCTGAGTGCCCAAACTGATACACTCTGTCAATAATTAAATCACCTCGGAGTGTAGCATATATAAGCACAGATTCCTCCTTCGGTCAGTGGCTCATTTTTCATCAAAAAAGTGTGTCCACCACATGCATGGCTCCACTGCTGAATAAAGGCTTTGCTGGCCCATGAAGTCTGCACCTGGCTCGGTCATTTTGTGCTAACAGTTTGAATGTTCATCTCCTCCAAAATCATGTTGACGTTTTATTTCTTTTGTAACAGTATTAAGAGGTGAGAACTTTAAGAGATGTTTAGGTCATAAGGGATCTCCATTCAAGAATGGATTATAAACACCCTCTGTTATAGCTGTTATTGAATGTGGATTTGTTGTAAATGTTTATTCTTGCACTAGCAATTTCTCTAATTATAATTCAAGTGTAATTTAGTTATTGTAACTTGCTAAACCTTCTATAACAAAGAGATGAAGATACAGCTAGCACAACAGACCATAGCCCATTTACTGTGAGAGGTCTGGGGAAGGGGACTACATCATTTTATATATTCAAAGGCAAAAAAAAAAACTTGTATTCTCCCCCTTTTCTCTCTCTCTTTCTCTCTCTCTCTCTCTCTCTCTCTCTCTCTCTCTCTCTCTCTCTCTTTCTGTATTTCTGTCTCATCCCCCTTCCTCTCTTGCCCTCTTTTTGCCCTTCTGCCATGTGATGATGCAGCAAGAAGACCCTTGCCAGACGTTGGCACCTTGATATTAGACTGTACAGCCTTCAGAACTGTGAGCCAGTAAATTTCTATTCATTACAAATTACCCTGTCTCTGGCATTCTGTTGTAGCAGTGCAAAATGGCCAAGAGACGGATATAAATTAAAATGTCCCAAATTGATTAAAACAACAAAAACCAACCAACCAGCCCACCAACCCCCAACCCAGGGAGCTAGTGCTTAGAACAGCTACACTTTGAATTTCTTTCTGTGATTATGTAAGATCACAGACTTTCTATGGGCCTGTAGCTCCAGGTTTACTCTAAGTGCTTATGAAAACTGCCAGTGCCCTCCCTGCCCCAGAAATATTCATGGGGAATCTTCAGGCCAGAGGGCTCCCCAGCCTTCCAGGTAACTCCTAGGCACATCACGTTTTGGGAATCTTTGTCTTTCTATTTCTATATTCCAAGTTTGGATTTTCTTGGGCTGGCATTTCCTTTAGGATGCTTAGTGTCTCTTAGAAACTTGGTGGTTTTAGTTTTTCCCCCAGAAGGCTTTTTGAACAAGCAGCCTGTTCTATAATCCTAGGAAAACCAGTGTATCTACTTACCTTTGTGGGCTACAGAGAGGTCATATAGTCCAGTCCCCTGGGGCTGGGCAGGATCACACTGAAGCCAGACCAGGTAGGGAAGAAATAAAACCAGGTTCTCTCCCACTTTAGATTTACTAGTGTGGGATTGTGGAGTTTGTGTTTGGGGCTTGTGGTTTGCAGAGAAGGGGTGGGGTCCTTGACAAGGGGGGAGCTTTGAGCATAGTTAAGGAAAACAGGTATTTCCCCAGGGGTGGGAGGTTGAGGGAGGACTAAAGGCCTAATCTTCTTATGTAAGAGTCATGGAAGAACTTGTTTTATAACTTCAGGGCAGCAGGGCTGCTAAATTTAGATTCAAACCTGAAACTTTTGAACACAGAGAGGCATCTAAGGCTGCAGCCTGTGGCAGGAAGGGCTGGGTCTGGGGTTCAATAGTCTCAGCCTTGGCAGGTGGGGAGACCCTGGCTTGAGAGGAAGGAAGGACCTGATGGGTTTTAGGAAAACCACAGCATTTCCTAAAAATCCTGAGGTCAGCCCAACCCTGCATCCCTCCTCCAGCACCAAAGGCCAGGTAGGTCTCACTTGTCATGACAGGTAGGGTTGGGGACAAAGGCAGGGATGGGTGGGACTCTGTGGCCAACTTGGCTCCTGACTTGTTGTCTACCTGTCACTGCCTATGTCAGAAAGAAAATCCCTAGCCTGGTGGGGTGCCATGCTCATAATTCCAGCACTTGGGAGGCTGAGGCAGGAGGATCGCTTTTTTTTTTTTTTTTTGGTGCTGGGGACTGAACCCATGGCTTTGTGTATACAAGCCAAGCACTCTACCAAACTGAGCTATATCCCCAGCCCCCAGAAGGATCACTTGAACCCAGGAGTTTAGGACCAGTCTGGGCAACATAGTGAGACCTGATTTGGCTCTCAAAAAACAACAAATAAACAAACAAACAAACAGAAAATCCTCCCCTTTAGTAGAGTCAGGGGGTGGGCTGGAGAGGGGTGGGAGGCATTGGGGAGGGACCGGTGAAGCTGCCAGCACTCTGCAGCTCCAGCAGCAAGCTTTCTTTGTGAGGGTCTTCATATTCTAGTTGACAGGGTGGTTGCGACGTAGTTTTGGTAACCTTTGGGGAGTAAGAACTGGTGGGCAGGGTGGTCTCAGCCTGGGCAGGTGCCAGGCCTGACGCTGTACTCCCGGCGCAAAGAGAAACCAGAAGCCACGCCCCCCTGACCAGAGCACGCGTGTGAATGTGCGCATGCGTATGACTGCTTGGGACACAGTGCCAGGTGCGAAAGGGCAGACGCCAATGGCCAGGTTAGGGAACAGTCCATTGGGCCATCCTTGGTATCAGAAGGATACACAGAACTCACTGAGATCTGGCCTCACATCATGGTTTGTTCCAGGGAAAGGATACAATCAAATCAGCGGAGGGAGGATGGGCACAGGCAGGGTTCCCGATAGAGCTGCCCTTGTTCTCTCCCCAGAGGTCACAGTTGCTGTTCACCTCTCCCAGCAACGATGTGGGACAACACACAGGGAGCACTGCCAACCAGGGAAGCCCACCTGAGCCTTTGTACCTGGAGTTTGTATTGGGACTCCACAGTGGACCGTCCATGTGGCTTCGATCAGTCTGGAGTCCTTCCAAGGTCCAGAGGATCATGTCTGACTCAAAGCCCGCACCCTGAATCACACCGTTGGTTTATCTGGTGGGGCCAGTCCCCACCCTAAATCACATTGTTAGCTGAGGGGGGTGTGGCCAGCTCCTGCCTTAAATAAAGATTCTTGTATGTAGCATGACACTGCAGGAACTTAGAGATGACCTTCTGGAAGCTGAGGGTGAAGGCTGACCTCTCCGTGGCAAGGTCAAGCTCTTTACTACATAGGCAGTCACACAAGGCTGAGAACAGTCAACTCACTGGGCATGATTCCCAGGAGTGCAACCCATATAGAGGGACAGCAAGCCACTCCCAAGCCGTCAACTGGCTTTATGCTGAACGTCTTCCTCGTGGACTCACCATATACTGAACAAGGGCCCCGTGACAGGCACTGTAGGGAGGACATGAGGGTGGATAAATCAGAGCCTGTGTCTGCCGTGTGGAAATCAGATAATGAAGAGCCACTGAACAATGAAATACTTAGAAGCTGTGATGTGTGCTAGGAAGCAAACAGGATTGATGGAGGGGAAAAAAAAAGGATCTGCCTTTGATTTTGTGGCTGAGAAGGCAGCTTTGAAAAGGTCCCATTTAAGCTGCCCAGAGAATTAAAGGGTAACAGCGGTGGCAGAAGTCTAAGCTCTTGGCAGAGGGGCACCAGGGTCTTTTCTGTCAACTGATATCTCTATGCAGACTGTGAAACAAGAATAACAGCCCCCTCCTTGTGGCTGACAAAGTCTTCTCAGGACTCAAGGCTTTATAATGCTGGCGCAGTATGCAAACCATACAACTGTACATGGCAGACTTGGCCAGCCAGTGCCTGAAAGTCAGCACCCCTGAGTAAAAAAACCAGGCTGTCACTAAGACACTGGTCATTTTAACTCCATTTGACCTTGTTCATATTTTAAATAATGAAAAACAAAGTTATGATCTGTTTGTAGAGGTCTTGGTGCCAGAAATTGGGGAATTCTTCAAGTTTCAGCCATCTAGGCAGTGCCTGCAAGTCAAGGGGGGGCGGGGGGAAGGCAAGTCCATTTTTGTCTTCAGGGTAAATCATATGTCCTACTCATTGGGGGTGCCAGAAAAAAGGAGTCCAATCTCTTGCAATAAAACAGGATCCTAGCTGAAGTCCCCCCTCCCCTTTTTATTCTTCATCCTTTCTCAGGAACGAGAACTTGTTTAGCAAAGGGGAAACCTTCTGGCTCAGAATCCCTGGTAGAAACCCAGACCTTGTCAATTCTACTTAATCAAACCCTCATCCATCTTTGAGACCGGCACAGCTACCAGAGCTGTGCATGGAGGCCTGGATTTGCCACCTAAATAATTGGAATGTCTGCATTCACTTCAAATCTCAGTTTTATGCAGGAAGTCTCTGTGTCTTTTCATGATCGCTTGATTTTGATACATTTACCACATTTTTTTTGAATTTTTAATATTTATTTTTTAGTTATCGGCGGACACAACATCTTTGTTTGTATGTGGTGCTGAGGATCGAACCCGGGCCGCACGCATGCCAGGCGAGCGCGCTACTGCTTGAGCCACATCCCCAGCCCCTTACCACATTTTTTAAAAGTTGGAAAGTGGAGAAAACAAAAGAAGGATGCCTTAGTGCATCCAGGCTGTAATAACCAAATGTCCTATAGACTGAGTGGCTCCTAAGCAAAAGTTGTGGAGACTGGAAGTCCAAGGTCAGGGTGCCATGATGTGGTGTCTGGTCAGGACAGCTTTCTGGCTCATAGACAGCACTTTGTAACTGTCTTTACAAGGTGGAAGGGATGAGATAGCTCGCTAAGGTCTTTTATAAGGGCACCAATCTTATTCACGAGGGTCCCACCC